CGTTTTTCATCGGATATCTCGCCGTCGAGCCGTCCTCCGTTTCCGATTAACTCGTTGTTATTTGCGACGCACGGCGACGCAGCGATTTATTATGCTCGCCATGCACGTCACGCATATTATTATTTCAATTCGCAGCGGCGGGCACACACGCGCGCGCGTGAAAATTAATCCGCGCGCGCACACGCACGCGCGCATATTTATATACACGTGGCTAAATAGCGGTGTTTTCAGGTCGACTTGATTTATGCCTGTTTGCGCTTCATATCGATTATGTACATCGCTCAGCTGATCCATGCTACGTTGACGATAACATATGGGCGATTTCGAAAAGCTTAAAAATAGCACATTGATCGCGTCGTTGACAGGGCCGAGCGCTGGTCGATAATGGCCGCGGAGCGCCGCCTCGACGGCGCGGGATATTCCCTTTTTCTTTTCTTCCGGGGAAAATTAGTCGCTCTTTTTCATCACAGCGAGGTATCGCTGTGCACATCTCACGGCGGAATTCTGTTAAAACGCGATGCAATATAATCTGCCGTAATAGGTGCATTAATCGTAAAACCTGCGCGCCTAAAGGGTGAGCAGCTGAGGGGGGGGGGGGGAGGGGCGATCTACAATTCGGAAATTTAATTTGTAATTGCGACATTTAAATTTAAACGCAACGCCCGTGAGAGCAAGGGAAGTGGATATTATATCGCCGTCGCCGTACCAGCTTCGCGCGAATCGTAAAATTCTATGCGACCATAAATCGTTATACGACCACTTCGCCGGCGTGAAGGACCTCGGGGCTTTGTTCTCCCGGCTTCTCACTCGTTAGCGGACTTCTTGCTGATTATTCGAAATTCTTCGCTACGTGCTAGCTTTCCTCGATCCCGCTCGGCCGCTCGGCTGCGACGTCTAAGACGTTAACAAGCGAGCGGCTTTGTAGCGGACAACGCGTCACACGATGGCGCATTATTAACGACAGTCGCTGCAATTCGAGGCTGTTCGCGGACGCGGCAAAAACGCGCGCTCGCTGATCCTGACAGCACAAAAGAACAACAGACCTGCCTGTATGTAGTAGCTTTTCGTACTGCTTCACTATCTGTCTCTCTCTCTCTCTCTCTCTCTCTCTCTCTCTCACTCTCGAACCCGGCGAAAGGAAGGAAAAGACACCCGCGAATACCGCGCGGTGGATCGCATCGAATTTTCGCACGTTAGAGAATAGCCGCATCGCGCGGCGCGAAGTGATCCGAAAATCATTGCGAAATTTAGAGGGCGCCGTCGGTTGACAAAAGCGGACAAAATATGCGTCGGTTAATCCACTTTCGCTGCGCAAATTCACCCCCGGTGCCAAATGGCGGCCGTAATGAAGATGGATCTTGATTCCGAGCGACGTTATCAGCTCGGTTTTTCACATCGAGAGGGGCAGAGAGACGAGCGCTCCGTTCTGTTCGGCGCGACTCCCGTCGAAAAGCTAATCCCGCTAAGCGCGCGAAACAAGTCTCGCGCGCCGCTAATTTGTGCCGCCCGCCGTGAACATTATTTTTTTATCCGGCCTGATGTAGCAACGCGACGCGGCCCTGAAAAATTCAGAACACCAGCCAGCCGTGACAGATAACGAGCGCGGCAAAAGGAGGGAGGAAAAAAGGAAACGGGTTCGTCGTATCGCCGAGACGTGGAAAATTCAAAAGCCGCGGGATGTGAAACTGCCGACGATGTATAACGCGTGAACTGTGAATGTCATTAACGCCGCGATGTCCGGGCGGTACCGCTGATTACGGCGCGGACATTCGTTGATTGCGAGTAACGAGGCTCTCCTCATCTTCCGCGGGACCGCGCAGTCCTGTCCGACGAAATGCAACGAGCGAGCTAATCACGCGTTTTAAATAAAATCAAACGACGCGACGACGACAACGACGACGGAAATGGCGGTAATTAATCCCGCAAGCCGTGAGCGATGCTGCAGCAGCGATCGGGAGAAGAAGCGCGGAAGGAGGAAAAAAGCCGAGCGGGAAAACTAATAGAATCGTCTGTCGTTCGGAGTGACCGACCCGGAGCAGCGCCGCCGCCGCAGATGGCGCGGCCGCTGATAGCGCGCGTAAACGCGGCCGTGCCGTTATCAGCGCTCAACGCTAATGTCTAAATCGATAAACGTGTCGAGAGACGAGAGAGGGTCAAGAGTCGCAAAATGTCTTTTGTTGCGGCCGCGCTGCATCTTTCTTGTAAATAATCCCCGCTGTCGCGTAATTACTAGGACACAGCGGAGGAGCAGAGGACGCCGAGGGACGCGCAAGGGCGCGCGGAAGCGAGAAACCACGGGCGACATTTCGATCGGGAGAGGGATTCGGGTCCTCCCGATTTGTCTCCGTCGCGCCGGATTCCCGCGCGCCGGCATATCGTCGGGAAAATCGCGCGGAAATAATTACCGGGCCGCCGGTAACGCTACGAAGCTCCAAAGACGGAGAGAAGACGGTGGGGGTGGATGAGGAAGGCTTGCGGCGGCTCGACGGCGTAATAATGTCCTTCTACCCGCCACCTGCTCCCCCCTGCCCCCCGCGACTTTGCTCCGGCTCAAGTCCCGCGCACTTTGGGGCGAGAGAAAGCGAAGCAGCGGCGAGTCACTATCTGACTGCGCATTAAACAAATATCACAGCCCCTAATCGGCAGACCGGCGTTCCGACCGGCAAGTTCCCCAGCCAGTCTCGAGTCTCGGTTTTTTAGGTTCCGCCTCCGAGATAGCGAGTTTCACGATTTGAATTCACGAGAGTGATGTGGGAATATACCCGCCTGAATTACGGCTCTCGATGTCGAATTAAGAAGAGGCAGGCCGACCGCGGAGGACGGTGAATTTTTCGGGGACGTGTAACGCGCGCGCACGAGCACGAGAAATTACGAGTCGAGCTGGCGCGTTCGGTCGAGTTCGGGAGAGTGAGGAACCGCCGAGAAGGGAGAAGGGTGATGGAGAGGAGAAGATCTCTTCTTCCGTACGCGACAGGGTTAAGGAAAATTAGAGAACGCTGGAGAGATAGAGAGAGAGAGAGAGAGAGAGAGAGAGACCGCCGCCTCGCGCACGGCGGTGCTTCTCCTACCCGGCGAAAGAAAATCCGACGTGAAACGACGGAATTGCCGGGGAATAGAGGCAACTATGAATAAGTAAGGCGAGCTAGACCGCGCTGGTGGATAAGTATTTTACGAGAGAACTATAGAGTGGGTATATCGCGCGACGGCCCATTGGCCGCGCGACGTTGCTACGGGCGTTTATCTTTATTGCCGTTTCACGAGAACGTTTCGCCGTGATATCCTGATAGGGGGAGACACCCGCCGATGCTGACAATAATCTCCGGACTATCGGAGAATTCCTAATGCTCTCCCTCTCTCTCTCTCTCTCTCTCTCTCTTTCTCCTTCTCCCCTCCTGTTTCTCTCTCAGCCCGGCTGCCGCGATTGTGGTCGCGCGGGTGGAGAGAATATTTTCCACGGGGTAACCCGTGCATCGAAGAGAGATCTTCGTCTTCCTCGTCTTCGTCGTTTCTCGCGAATCTCGTCGCCCGTTTATACGGACCACCACGTAGCGCCAACAGACCGTTACGTATCGTCGCGAGATAATCGCCGCGAATAAATCAATTGGGCAAAGTCGCGCGTGAAATTGTCGCAAAGTGGCGTGTCGATGGGGTACCGATCTGGTTTGCGATCGGCAGACGCTGAAAGAGCGGGAGGTAGAGAAGGGGAAAAACGGGCCAAAATGTTACGCTTTCCGTTATTGAATCAGCGCAATTACTACACGCTCCGCGAGCGTGCGTGCGTGCGTGCGTGCGTGCGTGCGTGCTCGGAACAACGGCACGGCGGCCGACTCTCAGCCAAAGTAAAGCCCGGACCGTTTAATCCGGCTCGTCGCGAGCACCTAACCTTATTGGACGCGTTAACATTAACGATTATACCGCGCGTTCAACGGGAATACGTCGCGCGCTGCTCGCCTTATTGAGTAAACGCCACTAATTTAACTCGGCCGCACGCATCGCTTGCTTCGTTTCCGCCTGATCGCGCGCGCACTACAGCACGCGCGTGTGTGCGCGCGCGCGCGCGCGCGCGCGAACGCTGTCACTACACCCCAAAGGCTCGCAGCCGGAGGTGAGAGTGACGTGAAAGCGGGGGGGGGGGGGTGGAGATTCGATTAGCGTGTCGCAGAGACAATTAAAATTTACGGGAGTCTCGCGACCGGCGCGGCGCGATAATAAAGAAGCCGTTCGAACGCGTCGGCCGCCTCTCGCCCCGTCGCGTTTTTTCATTTCCGGTAATTAAGATTCACCGTCTCTCTCTCTTCCTCAAGCCCGACTAATAAGCCCGCTCGCGGTTTATCCCGTTAGCTTCGCCGGCGAATAAATCGCGCGCGGGACGAATGCGTAATCAAAAATATGCAGCTGTCGCGAGAATCCGCCCCGCGTACGCGTATATTTTCGTTTACACGCGCGGCGCTTTATTGCCGTTGCGCAAAAATAGCGCATAAAAATTCATAGGAATTACGCGAACAGGATGGCCGGGATTGTCGACATATAAAATTAACTGTGAAAAATGTATCGCCGCGGCCGCGCTCGAGCGGACTCGAGGGAGACGGAGAAGGAGAGGAAGAAGGCGTCCCGCTCGGGCGACGGCGACGATGACTCTCGTTGGAGCGCGATCGCGAGCTGCGCCGCCGGGGAAGGCGACACCGCCACCACTTCCTCGAGTTTCTTCAGCCGCGGCGGAAACACCGGCACCGTGCCGGTCGCGGCCGCTGCTGGCGATCGCTGAGGTATGAATGAATTTCGGCCGATTGCGAGCGAGGAGCCGGTCGCGGTTCGCCGGGCATTATGACGGCGATTAAAACATTAGAGCCCAATGTCGTAAACGACATTGGTGCTTAGCACGGAAGAAAGTGACGCGAGAGTTAGGCGCTCTCTATAAAAGTATAAAAGTACGCGGCAGCGCAGTTTCGGCATCCAGTTGTCCGCGTCCGATTGTCGCAGGCCCGAGAAGTAACGCCGACATGCTCACGTGGGTAAGTCTCTCGTCTCGGAGGACGCGCGTCTTCCTCGCGAACTTCCTCGCGATCATCCCCCCGGAAACGCTCTCAGAGGCCGCGAGGCCGGAGAATTTATCGACGCGACGTGCCCGACGCGAGAGGAGTTCCCCTCCCCCCCCCCTCCCTCCCCCGCTCGCCCAGCAACCCTGGATGGAAATCCGCAAAAATACGTCCCCATCCTTTCGGCCATCCCTTCGATCACGCTGATTAATATATGCATCGCTCGGATCCGATAAAGCATCGCCGCGCGACGGCCCACCACGGGTCGCGTAACATAAAGCTCGGGGATTTATCATCGACATCAGTCTGGCTTTAAGGTTCGTGATGTATATCTGGCGTCGAGTTCGCGGCCAGTTGTGATGTACAAGTGTCACCAATAAAAGTCATTCGGGACACGTCCGTCATCAGGGACGAGCGCTCTCGCTCGCGCAGCGCAGCGGTGCTTAATCGACGAGCGTCCTAAAATCTTCGCGCAGGATATCGCGCGTCCACCCCCGCGCACATCTCTCAGTTAATCCGGCTGTAAACGCGGCTAAAGTTTCGCAATGAGAAAGGACGACGGACCGCTTCCCCCCACCCCCCCTCCTCTCTCTCTCTCTCTCTCTCTTTCTCTCTCTCTCTCTGTCTGTCTTTCTCTCGTGCAAAACACGTCTCGCTATTTGTGACTCCCATCGTCGTCGTTGTCGCGGACGGCGCCGCACGTCCAACGCCGACGCCGGGCGTGTCACCGGCATCCGGGATCTTTTGTATAAATTGCTTTGTCGCTGATTAAATTCCCAGTTATTAAAGGCGTAGCGGAACATTTGCATTTCGAGAAGAATATATCAGCGCATCTCGCGGCCGCCATCTCGCATCGGTCCGAGAGCTGCAATTGCAGCTCTCTCCGTGAACGTGGCGGAGCGAGGAAATTAGCGACGGCGACATCGTCGTCGTCGTCGTCGTCGTCGTCGTCGTCGTCGGCGGCGGCGGCGACGACGGCAGCAGCAGCGGCGGTGGCGGCGCGGCGGCGTCGCGACGCCATCGAATGAGATATTGCGGAAGTAGAAACGACGAAGAGAGCCGAGAGGAAGGAAACCGAGATTCCGTCTTTCTGAAGTTCCTTCGATGGAGACTCTTTCGATTCTAATTGGATCGAGCGTTTAATTGTTCCCGTCTCGGGAGATTGAAAGCGTTAAATAATCGCTCTGAAAGCTTCCCTTCGCGTTCACCGCCGCGCTCGCGGCGCGATTGCAATTGACATACATTCCGCGGTATTACGCCGTTCCCAGGGTTTACGTTGGACTCGAAAGAATACGATTTACTCGGGAACGGGCGAAAAAAGTAAAGATTGCACTCGCGGCCGCGAGTCTATTCCCGGCGTTGCTCGGCTGCTCACCAAAACGCGTACACGAGGTTACGTTCGCCGTTAATTCGATAATGCAAAATCTACGAGCAGCGCCGTCGAAAATAAAATCACCCGGAATAAGATCATCGTTGCGAATTAAGCCGCGCGCGTCTAAGCGGGCTGACGCTGAAAATAACACACACAGTTCGTCCGTGCCGAATATAGGCCGCGATAACCCGATTCTTAATTTTGGATCTACGACACTCGACTGAATAATAGACCGAATAATCGAAACCCGATCCGCGGATGTGAACGGGAGTACGACATACAAAAGCCCGCCCCGCCGCGATTCCGAGACGACTCAATTAAATAAGCCGTAAAAAAAGGAGATGGGGCGCGCGCGCGCGCGAAATCGCATCACAGATTCAATCTACTTTCGTCAGGTCGGATCGCACGGCCGAGTGAATCACAAAAGCGAATCTCCAAGAATAATTTGATATCGCCGTTGCTGCCGCCGCCGCCGCCGCCGCCTCCGTCGTCGTCTTCTGCTGATCCCCAATTTCTACGCGCGTCGGTCTTGCCAGAAACTCGAATAAATCACGACCGCGACTATATTCGAGCGTGATTAATTGATTCCACGCGGCAAACATCCCGCAGCTGACCACGCTGATTTTCCTATCTACTTCGAGATGTGATTTCGATTCTCGTTAGCCCGATCGATCTCGCTCTCGCTCTCGCTCTCGCTCTCGCTCCCTTCCTCCCTTTCTTCAGTCCCTCGGGGAAATTCGCGGCAAGAAGGCCGAAGCGCGATAAAACGACTCCCCGACGATTTACTGGATATTATCTCCGGCCCTTCCGCTCGAGCGTGCACGCGCACCACGTGCGCCGCGCGAAAATGAATACCTGTGATACGACACGCTTTGCGCCTTCTGCGGGTTAAACAGCCGTTATAACGTGTCGCGTTTTTCCGAGAGCAACAACCGCTGGACAGAACAAGTAACAGGCTTACGATGGATGGTGCGCCACCGGCGACGGATTAGAAGACGGGATGGATTCGAATAAAGACGAATAATTAGCCGAAGCGGGGGAATATATCCCGGGTATATATCGCACACACTGCACGATCATTCGCTACTGCTATGCTAGCTGATATGCCGCCGATGAGCGCGGCCCGATATCACCCGACCTGATTTAACCCCAATTACATGTTTCGAGTAGATTAACGATCTCAGAGACGCTTTTCACGAAAGTGCCCATTTACCGATCCCGTCTGTCATCCTAGGCGTGGTTTCCGGTCGTCGGTCTGCTGCTGGCAGCAGCGGCCGGCCAGGATCCTAGGACACGAAATGAGATTCGACCGCAAGTGTCGGCGGCCAAGCAAGAGGAACCGCTCGAGTCCATCAGACTGCCGCGACAATTGCAGCTGCCACGATCGTTGGTGTCCCAGAGCCCGGCGAGCATTATCTCGACGTCCGAAAGAAGCCAGAAGAAACGGCAGCTGGGCGATCTTGGGCTAAACTTCCAGCCGTTGTTATCGCTCAATAGCCAGACCCAGCAGCCGTTCCTTCCGACGACCTTTGGCGCGGGTGGTCTGGGCAGCAGCGTCATCCCGCGAATCGGCCCGCAACCGAGGCAGCTCGTCACACGAATCACAGAGCCGTCACTGGCCCCGGCTAGTCACGTGAGCTTCGTGACCCCGTCGCTCGTGCAGTCGCAGCGAAGGATCCACGACTTCGAGAGGTCGCACTCCTTCCATCATAAACACGGCCATCACCACGGACACCACCATGGCCATCATCACGAGCATCACTCGCATCACTCGCATCACGCCAAGCACAAGCACCATCACGGCCACGAGCACAAGCACGGTCACGATCATCACGAGGAGCACAAGCATCACGAGGACCATAAGCATCATCACGGCCACCACCATCACCACGGCCATGATCATCATCACGGCCACAAGCATCAAGACGACCACAAGCATCATCACGGCCACGAGCACAAGCATCACCATGGTCACAAGCACGGCCACAAGCACGGCCACGAGCATAAGCATCACGGCGAGCACAAGCACCATCACGGCCACCATCACCACTCCAAGCACGAGCATCACGAGGAGCACAAACACCAGTCCGAGCATCATCATCATCACAAGCATCACCACCACAACGAGCACCACCACCATCACGATCATCATCACGTCAACGAACACCACCATCACCACACGCACAAGGAGACCGAGAACCATCACCACCACCACGGCCACGGCCACAAGGAGCATCACAAGCATCAGCACAAAGAGGAGCACAAGCATCATCACGGCCACGAACACAAGCACGGTCACCACGAGGAGCACCACCATGGCCACCACGAGGATCATCATCACAAACACGGCCACGATCACAAGCACGGCCATCACGAGGACCACAAGCACCATCATCACCAGGATCATCATCACAAGCACGGCCACGAGCACAAGCATGGACATCACGAGGAGCATCACCACGGCCATCACGAGGATCACAAGCATCATCATCACGAGGATCATCATCACAAGCACGGCCACGAGCACAAGCACGGGCACAAGGAGGACCATCACCACGGCCATCACGAGGACCACCATCACGCCCATCATCAGCAGCACAAGCATCACCATCACGAGTCCCACAAGCACGGCCATGAGCACAAGGAGGAGCACAAACACGGGCACGACCACAAGCATCATCACGACCATCACGAGAGCCACCATCATCACGAGCATCACAAGCATCACGAGGGCCACGAGCACAAGCACGGGCACAAGCACCACGAGGGACACAAACATTTCGAGGATCATCACCACAAGCACGGACACGATCATCATCACAAGCATCACGAGGACCATCATCACGAGGTGTTCGAAGGCCACGATCATGAGCACTACAAAGGTTTCGGCCATCACTTCGGGGCCTCGCAGAACCACGAGGAGTACGTATTTCCGGAAGAAAGCGCGGCGGCTGCCGTAACACCGCCGGCGGACGACGTTCTGAAGATCACAAAGCCGCCGGAAGTAACCGAGTCCGCCGAGCAAGTGGCGGTCGTGCAAGTGTAGCGAAAGGATGACAAACACGGCGCAAACACGACAGGGTTGCTTAGAAGCGGAACGTCCGGAAGTTAAGTTACTCGCAAACGCGACGCACGCCGTTCTGCGCGAGAATTGTCTTGCGAGAAAATTGTTACCTAAACGCGAAAGATGGCATCGTTATTATTTGCATGTACTTTGGTGCCGCCGCTACTTTTCGAATGACGTTTCAGAACTAGAGAGCGGAGGGAGAGAAAGAGAGGGAGAATTTTTTGGGTTATACAGCTGCGAGGCTCGCGCATCGATCCGCGATATAAATGCTACTCAAACTTACCCCCTGACTGAATACAATTTGCATCGTATTATCTTCAGAGCGAGTAGAGAAGCAGCAGATTAATTTTCTTCATCGATGCTTTGCATCATCCGATGCTTTGCATCAACATCCGATAATTCATAAAATCTCACCCGTATCGCTTTCAAACTAAACGATTCGCGCGCGCTCACGGAGAGACGTGTTTCGCATTAAAGTCTGCATTCTTCAACCCTGTCATAGGAGACCACCCCGGCTGAATACTGTTTTACACATTACCCGCTTTGTTTTTCCCCGACGAGCGATGGCGTCGCTCGAGAAAACGATTACGGCTCGATCGTGGTGCAGGATCGCAGGTACATCGTTAAGCGTTGTTTCTCGTTAGTCAGACATTACTCTCGAGCGTTGTTGACACCTTTGAAATATAAAGTTTTCACCACTTTACGATGCTTTCATTTTTCCACCGCCCCAGACCCTTAACATAAAACCGAGGTAAACGCCCGCTCGTTTTTCCCGCGGGAAAGAGAGAGAGAGAGAGAGAGAGAGAGAGAGAGAGAGAGAGAGAGAGAGAGAGAGAGAGGGACACAATATTTAAAGTTTAGCGCAAAGAGCGCTATTTTTACGCCGTTGCTGGAACTTTCATCCGATAAGGCGCGCGAGCTAACGAACAAGTAGATTAAAGCGAAAATGTGTTAATTGCGCCGAAGTGGCCGAGATGAATTACGAAATCGGCGCGTTAAAACTGAGAAAGTTCAAGCACATCGTAGCGGGCTGAAACTTCGCGCAAATATATAATTCCAATTTGTAAAACTATCCGAAAAGGCCGAGATACCTCTCGGCCGACGTAATCCCTTTAGGTATATAGCGAGAGAGAGAGAGAGAGAGAGAGAGAGAGAGAGAACTGCGCTCGTCGTAATTCTCCGACTTAAGAATAATTTACAAGCGATACTAATTTGTCTCGGCAAGCCGCGATTCATTGAAGCAGTTTCTCAGATAGCGAGACGCGTTTAATACGTCCTGTATATCGCGCGAAAGGATCTCCCGGGCTCGGGACATCGCAACTAGTACATCGCACGGCGGATAACGGCGGATCGATTGCTCATAGCAATAGTGAGAATCGATTCACCTTTGAGCGCGAGCACGCGTAATCCGTTAATGCCGCCGGGAATCTTCGCGTAATTCATTCGACGGTGACTTATCGCGCCGGCAGTCGTATAATCTCGGCTTTTTCGACTCGCTCGCGTTGTATCGCGGCGGACACTTCTCGACTTCGAGCCAGTGGCTGGAAAGAATCGGAAGGGACGAGACGAACCGAACAATGGTGATTCCGGGTAAACGTCATTTCCAGATATTGTGGGGGAGCCGCAAACGCTGGACAGGGAACGATGCGGCTAGTTTCTTCAGCGGGGGTAGGGGGGGAGCTATACTTTGAGATTAGAGGACAAGTACACACACTCGTAGCAGATAGCGGGGTGCATTTTGCAGAAAGGATCGATTAAAAGTGTCGTGGAATTGTCGCGATATTGCCGGCAGAGTTGTGGCGTGTGACATTATGAGGACAATACGATTACGAAGAATGAAGGAGCGGGAGGAATAAATAGCGCGTGTAAAGTGCAGATATGAAAGGTGAAAGAGCGCATTGCATACGTACAGCGTTGAAAGAAGAAAAAAGAGAGCGAGAGAGAGAGAGAGAGAGAGAGAGAAAGGAGAAAGGCTAGAAGAGTGAAAGTCATTCCAAAGACGTGCCCTGTCCATCAGTGAATCGTCCTTTGGTGCGATAAGTGAATCAAACGACAAAAAGGACGAATCCTCGAGGCGGGGAAAGACGGAGGCGGAGAACAAGAGGAAATAAATCGTGTTTGCGAATTGAATTACCAGCCCCATCTTCGTCGTCCTGCGTAACTTTGTGCCGAAACGACGTGATGTTTCTTTGATCCCGCTTTCGTGACTGCGCACGCGAAGGGATTCGACGATAATTAGTGATACTGTACATATCATTCCCATCCTTTCCCCCCGTTCTTTTTAATTTCCGGAAGTATTACTTGCGTACATAAATCTTTACCGACGATGTGCCGAGCTACCTAGCGGTTACTTCGAAGTTTCAAAGTACGATGCTGTAAGGTCGACGAAACGTTTCGGGAATGTTCATCCATCAGGAAATTGTCTCTTTGTTGGACGTAGGAATCAGGAGAAAGATAAAGGCAGGGAGAGAGAGAGAGAGAGAGAGAGAGAGAGAGAGAGAGAGAGAGAGAGAGAGAGAGAACGAGAGACAGAAAATAGGGATACGCGAAGCGAGCGAGCGAGCGAGAGAAGATAAATCCTGTTTGCGGATTGAATGGCTTGCCACGACGTCCTCATCGCGTTCAACTTTGACCTAGAGCAACTTCCGTCTTTCCACAACCGCAAACTTGTTACCGTAATGTGTCTGTAAGTTGGTCTCACCGGTAGTTTCCGTAGTTAATTAATTAATACAATTAATTGGGCGGTTCCCGATATATAAAGTTGTCTTCGCGAAATATGCCAAGGAACGAGGTATAAGCGGCCGCGCGCAACAATGGCTGCTCCCGGGGAAATGCGACGACGAGGACGATGCCGATGGAGTAATCGCGAGTTGCCCCACCATTAGCGGATTATCTCGTTCGCGCGCAAGCAAACAACGGGGGGAGGGGGGGGGGGGCAGCAGCTGGGGATGTGCAACGACGCGATAGGCAAGGCAACGGGCGAAGGACGTAACGCGTTCGCTCTCGCGTCGGGGACGTCTGTCGGTCACATCGTCGCCGTGGTGCGAAATACGTTTCTCGCAGCCGGGACGTTTCGCAGGAGTCGCGAGATAAGAAAACTCGCGACAATGACCATCCAATCAAGGAAGAGTGCGAGCGCAGCTGTATATAAAGTATGTCCCCGGATAACAGGGGACTAAGTGCTATTGTTTATTCAGCGCGCGCAACAGTCGAAACTGCAAAACTAAGAGCTCTCTTGGAAAAATCGCGTCGAGCTAACGCGCGCGCCGCGTCCGCCCCCTTCCCCTCCCTCCCTCCAGCCCGCTCGAGCTGTCGCTCCGTCGCTCGCGACACGCGCGTAAATTGATTGCAAGCGTTAATTCCGGCTAGCTGAAATGAAGCACTGAAATTCGCGTGACGATAAACATGTTAACATAATGCAACTACGGGGTTAGCGATACAACGTGTTATAAGCGACTAATAAAATTATACGAAACTCCGCGGTTAGTTTGCAACACCGGCCGATTTACACGCGCGGGAGTGCGCGCAACTTGAAAATTACCACACTGCCCCGCTCTATTCGTATACGTATCGTGGAAGTTCCGTCTTGGGGTTCATAATATTTTTCCGCTATTGTTTCGCCCTTCCTTGCAAACACCGCGATATACACGCGGCGAGCGTACGCACGCGGGAAGAACGCGAGTTCGATAAATCTACTCAGCTACTGGGCCCCCATTACATGTTTCATAATTACGGCTGCGAGTGCATCGTATTTTTACGCATTAAGAACAAGCAGGAGAAAATTATGCCCTAACGCGAACAAAACTGCGCCCGCGCCCACGCCCGCGTCCGGGCGAGTCTCGATAATAATTTTTAACGAGGAAATACATTGTTTTACAGGCGCTATATTAATTACGTCGGGCTGCGCTTGCTCGAGAGTACTTTCAGCCAGCTGCTATTTTAATGCGCCTTTATTCTAGCGACGAGGGTCTCTTATTCATCGACGCAAACTCTGCTAATGAGGGAGGTGATAAACAGAAGCATTAATATCACCGCCGGCGTCTTACTCGAGCTCGCCCCGAATGAATACGACGGATCTTTCAATGCTAGGCGTACGTAAAGCGCGTGGAAATATAATTGCGGGCTGAAGGACCGTTCGCGCCCGACAGTATCCACTTTTCGTTAAACCTCCCTCCCTCCCTCCCTCTCTCTCTCTCTCTCTCTCTCTGTCGCCCTCTTTCTCTGTACCGACCGCGATCGAAAATATTCCGCCGGCGGAAAATTTATCGCAACGACCATCCATCCATATTTACGCACGTATTCTTAGAGAACACGTGCGCGCGCGCGCGCGCGCTGCTCAACAAAAGTATTACCCACGCCGAAATTCGCAATGTCCGCGAGCCGCCGCGCCGAGGACGATCAATCAGACCACGAATATTCTTGTCGACGGAATCGCCGGCGTCGCAATCACGAGAGCCAGCCGCGCAAGGCGTCGGAAGGCGGCGAGTGCGGCCGGTATCAACGTTGGAAAGTTATCGGTATCTATCTCGACGAAATCCTCCAAGTTCGCAATGTCTGCTCGCGAAATGGGTTAATAAATCGTCCGGCGTGATACATTTAAGCCGCAACGGCGGTCGGAGAATTGTTGCAACGCGAAGGATCCAGGATCGAAGCGCACCGCTCCGCTGGAGCGCGGAGCAGGTTGGCGGGGCGCGGGTCAGGAGGGAAGGAAAGAGCGCTACGAGAGAGAGAGAGAGAGAGAGAGAGAGAGAGAGAGAGAGAGAGAGAGAGAGAGCGAGCGAAAAGCAGGGGGGGAGGACGGCATCTCGGGATTTAAATTCATCCGACGGGTCGGGTTTATCAGCATGCATTGGCCGCGCGTACTCGCGCGTCCAGCGTGCGAGCGAACTCGTTCCTCGAACCTTCGTTCTCGTTTCCTTGACGGCGGCACGAGATGCGGCTGGAGGATAAGCCGCGGCGAGAAGAATCGCCGGCCCGGAGGAGGGAATCCCACGCGAAAGGGGCGAGAGCGGATGAATTGCCGTAAGGAGGGAGGGGAGGGTAGGGGAGGGGGGGGGAGGCACGATCATAACTCGCTTGTCGAATCTGACAAATGGATCCACGGTCTTCCGCGGTGATACGATATCATTATGCAGTTATCGGACAAAAGCTGATATCGCGTATCAGACAGAGAGTCGAATTTGATTGAGGGTTACGTGCCGAGCGGATTATCCGGGCGAGTCATTCCCCACTCCCCCCCTTCTTCTCTCTTCTTTCCGGGATTCTTTTCAAATTGCATCCTCGCATGGGAAATTTTTATATCGACGACAAAAATCGAAAGGATCGTGCGCGTTCTCT